TGAACCTATTGCTCTGCGTTCTCTTGTCACCATGAGCTCCCTGGATGAGCCTACTGCTCTGGGTTCAGTACTCACTGAGAGCTCCCCGGATGAGCCTAGTGCTCCGGGTTCTGTACTCACTGAGAGCTGCGATGCGCAGGGGCACCAGCGAGGGCAGGCTCTTGTAGCATGGCAGCTTCATCAGGGCAGCATCCTCTGCCTCACACAGGTTCAGCAGCTGGAGGAACACACAAGGAGAGCACACTGTACATTACATTCATTTCAGTGGTAAGTGGATACACTCACACAAAGGGCAAACTACAAAAGCCACACACTCGTGGGATACCTGGACAGACAGAAATCCTTCCCTCAACATTATTGGGGCCATGTTCACTGACCTGACCTCATAACCCTCCTTCCAAGCAACCCTGCACCCTCAGTCCATTATAAAACATGGAAAACATCACAAAGACATGCAGGCACTAGCGACAGGAAGCCAGGGCCTGCACGCCCACCTCTGTGTAGAAGACTTTGTGCTCCATGACATTGAGGTCCATGGTGAAGAGGCGTGGCTGCAGCGTGGTGCAGAAGGTGTTGCCCTCCATCAGTCCGATCTGAGCGTTGGCCGGCTGGTGGCGCAGCAGGTGCTTCTTGGGGGGCACCATGTCCTGCAACACCTGAGAGGAAATGAAACGGGTGTAAAAACCCATGTGACACCAGAGGGCAACAGAATGGCTGTATAATAATAACTGTTACATTACGTTACGTTATTGTCACTTTAGCAGACGCTCTTATCCAGAGTGACTTACATCGGTCACAGTTTTTACAACGTTATCTACTTATATAGCTAGATATTTACTGAGGTAACTATGGGGTAAGTACCGTGCCCAAAGGTACAGCAGCAGTGCCTGAGTGGGGAATCAAACCGGCAACCTTTGGGTTACGAGTCCTGCTCCTTAACCATTATGCTACACTGTCACCCCGTGGCCTGTAAAACCCATGTGAAGCCAGAGGGCAACAAAATGGCTGTAGAATCCAAACCAGACAGGTTACAACCTCCGTCGCCTGTTGTCACTGTACCCTCCCCCAAACCCACCTCCTTGTGAGGCTCCATGATGATGGTGACGCTCTTGCCGGTGACCTGCGCCAGCACCTGCAGCGAGTGCATGGCCTGCTTGCGCACGGTGGAGTTGGGGGACGTGACCTCGCGCACCAGGTCGTGGGTGACCATGTGGAAGGACTTCTCCTGGGCGGTCAGCAGCTCCTCGGTCTTCTCCTCGTCCTTCAGCGGCGTGGCGCAGCGCACCAGCAGCTGCTCCAGCGTGGTCTTGGCCATGGCCACCGCGCCGTTGGACACCTGGGAGAGAGAGAGAAGGGCACACGCGGCTCAGCCACTGAAGCTGCTGACGGGGACGGACCGGGAACGGTACGACGGCGGCGGGGACTTCTCACCTCCCCGGTGAGGTCCATCATGACGAAGAGCAGGGCCTTCAGGAAGGTCAGCTGGTTCTGCAGCACCCAGATGAGCGGCAGCCTCTCCATGAGGAACTTGATGGACACCACCCCGCCCAGCTTGGCGTACCAGGCCTGCTCGTAGCAGCACGCGCAGAGCCGCTCCACGATGTAGGAGAACAGGGGCAGCTGACAGGCCTGAGGGGTCCAGGGGAAAGGTTAGGAGGCGCATACAGTACCCGTCAAAAGTTTGGACACACCTGATTGAGGAAACATGCATTCAAAGACATTCTGATCTAAAGACTTATGATTAATTGCTTGAATTTTTTTCCTAGACAAATGGAAATTGTGAAATATGTAGAAATTTCGTTCCAAAAAAAATAATTTTAATAAATATTTTTTGGCTATTTTGAAGAATCTAAAATACAAAATATTTTTGATTTGTTTAAAACACCTATTTGGTCACTGCACAGTTCCATTTGTGTTGTTTCATAGTTTTGATGTCTTTACTATTACTCTAAACTGTGGAAAATGGTAAAAAATAAAGACAGACAAGTGTGTCCACAGTTTTGACTGGTACTGTATACAACCCGCTCCTGCTGAGACAGTGAATCTCTTCAGAGCCGGTGAAGTGTCCGTGGCTACCCTGCCCCGAGCCTCACCCTCTCCTTGGAGCCCAGGATGATGCTGGCCACGTCGAAGATGACGGCCAGGGCCACCTCCCCGATCTTGCACAGCTCCTTCTCTTCGTAGGCCATGCAGATGGCGATGGCGTCGATGAGCACCAGCGGGTCCATGCCCTTGGAGCCGTTCTCCTCGCTGTGGAACATGGCCGTGCTGGGCTGGCTGCCCAGCTGGTAGCACTGCAGCAGGAAGGGGCCTGGAGGACAGAGCAGAGGAGATGCCATCACTGCCGGTGAACATGACAGCAAGCTGCAGTGCTGAATGTGCAGCAACCCGAGGGAAATGCCTAGGGGATAAAGGAGCTGTGGCAGTACAGGCAGCATAGGGCCTCAGGAGAGCTCCTGTGCCCGGAATTAAATCTTAACTCATTTAAACAGGCTGCAGAATCTACACAACAGTGGTGCATTCTACAAAAACCGGAGTGAAGGATGAAGGATGAAGGGACAAACTGAAATAGAGCGCCCAGGCCCAGAGGGACGTGCACACACCGAGACAGGGGCAGGGGGGGAACAGTCGGTCCCTTACCACACTGCTGCGCCACAGCCACCATGGTGTAGTGACGGATGAGGCTGGCCACGAAGGGCAGGGCGCTGGGCCGCAGGTCCTTGATGACGGCGGACATGAAGGCCCCGGTCAGCGCCTGCTCGAAGGTCCTGCGGGCGGGGGTGTCCTGAGCCTTGTAGCGGTGCGAGATGATGACGTTGGGGATCCACTTCTCTGTGAAACTGCAAGACAGCAAAGCGAGTCGATCAGCCTAACGCAATGAGATGCAACAAGCATCGACGCATATGCTCATCAGAAAAAGGCGCGGGTACCCACATAAATATTTCCCTTTCCTAACCGTGGACTTTCGAAATAATGTCCACAGAGCTTTACTTGTACTTGTTTGTAACTGGCTGCTTGAAACAAAATGAACAAGAACCAAACAATAATACCAAAAAAACACCAAAAAAACTTAAGCTTAATGCAGATACAGAAGATAAATATCAAAGGATATCCTTAGTAGAAGACAGTCAAGCTGTCTTTCAATAAATTTTCACTACGTTATTAACTGAATAGATGTCAATCTTCTCCTAAAAGTGTTCTTTCAAAATGCACATTTCAAACAGTTACTGTGGGCTTACACTTGTCAGCCTACTGAAAAAGGTATTACCAATGGCTTTCACATAAAGTGGTTCTCATGTAAAGTGCCCTCACTCGTGTTTGGAAACAGAACATTGTGCTCAACCTTAAAAACAGAATACATCACCCTGTGGCCTTGATGCACATTTTCCCATGAAGTCATTACTCCTCCTAACTGTTCCCAGAGCAGTCATTAATCCATCCATCAACTAATGCTTATCAATTTCAAACAATTCAATTACAAAGCTTCCAGTAACTGCAGTTCTCATTTGAAATGACTGAAAAATGGCAACGCATTGATTATGGTGTCATAATGAGCCGATAAAGCCTAACGTCCTGGACTGCATGAGAACTCATTTGGAAACATGATGCCATACTGACTGAAAAACATCTTTTCTGTTGTCGGCCAGTTACCCGTACACTGACTGATGACACTGCTGTTTCTGTCAGACGGCTAGTTGGATTACCACAACATGCAGCTAGAAAGCTGGCTACACAGCTATCACCTGAGACACAGAAGGTGAAACTGACATTCTTCTCCCATAAAATCACCAGCCCTGACAGCAACAATAGGAAACTTCTGCTCTGTTGAGTACTGGTGTAGGAATATGATTCCCTGGGCCACTGAACCTGAATCCACAACTTTTTCCCTTCAATGGGCGGGGAGAGGTTTAAGCGACAAGCAAACTGTTCTAAGACCTGCTGATTCTACGGCAGAGAGCACTACAGTGGCATTTGTGCTCACTTATGCTAACAGCTAGGGAGTTGATAGTGTCAATGCTAGCTGAGTGAGTAGATCTATATAAAAACTCAGATGGAATAAGTCAAAGGATTCTCTCTAAAGGCACGCAAAATCACGACGGCAGGAGCTGCGAGCCAGTGCCACCTACACGTGCAGAAACGCTCATTTATCTTCCCTATCAAATTTGCCATTTTCAACAGATTCTCGTGCGCTCCCTCCCCGAGCGTCTCTGAAAACCCACACTGCACGCATCACCCTTCAACCCGCAATCAAGCCCTGCAGGAGGATTCTCTTTGTGTTTGCCTGGTATTTCCATCATTGTATTATTTACCCATGTTGATGGTGACTACATGATTGAGCAACTGTTTTATCCATGCTTCAGCTCGCGTTTTATAATGTCAACTGCCAGGCCGGAATCGTGATCGATTGCTCCATCTCATTATCGCCATTTAAAAAGACGGCCGCGGAGAGGAACGGGTAGAGGGGGCAGATCAATTCAAATTCATAGTACTGCCACTTGAATGGAGCTCCATTATACAGGCTGGCATTTGCAATATTAAGAAAGCATTCTTGCCACATGAAAGCCCTTTTCATGGTGACCGGCGCAAATAAAACCCGCGCGGGCTGAAAGGGAGAGGACATCATGAATCAAGACATCTGACAAAGGCGGCCACTCTCTCAAATCATAACTGACACACTTCATTATCTCGGCGGGGCCGTGAACGGCCAGCTCTCAGGATAAACAGACAGAGGAAAGTCAATTAGCCCCTACCGAGGGATCAATAATGGTAATGTGACCCTCCCTGCAGTAAGTGTAAGTGTCTGTGAGTAATTAGCCCCCTCAATGCTCCAGACACCGCTGATGAACCAGCACGGGTTCTGGAGGGGGCAGAGACGCCGTCACACAGCGGAGACAAAAGGGGGAGATGAGCTTGGGGATAAAGGGCCGGTAGAGCAGGACAGGGCAGCTCAAGGTTAGACAGGGAGGGAGCTCATGGGGCGAAAAAGATCATGCATGGACAGCAGTGTAGCGCAGTGGTAAGGAGCAGGGCTTGGAACCGAGAGGTTGCTGGTTCGATTTCCCGCTGAGGCACTTCTGTTGTAAGCTTGGGCAAGTTACTTAACCCTCAGCTGCCACAGTACATGTCCAACTGTATAAATGGACAACATGTAAAATTGTTTCTCTGGACAAGAGCGTCTGCCAAATGCCAGTAATGTAATGTAATGGAACTACGCCAGCTTCTGGCCTGTAATCATCCAACAGGCAGGGACAGATGCAAATGTACAGAATCTCCTGAAGCACAGTGGTGACCCCTGCGTTTCTGTGGCGGTCTTACTTGGGGTGTGCCAGCAGCTGGTAGAGGGCGTGTTTGTTGTCCTCCAGGCTGGTCATGGCCACCAGGAAGCACTTGATGACCTCCCAGGCCTGTCGCCGGTAGTACGGCTCCGTGTTGGCGCTCTTTAGGCAGTCCAATGCCGTCTCAATAGCCTGCAACAGAAAAACACACCTGAATCGCAAAGCATCCACACCGCTGTCAGCATTCCGAAGGGCAAGTCCAGCTGCAAATGCATCTGCTTTTTTAAAAAATATGACTCTTCTACAAGAAGCCTTCATAACTGAGGCCAGCCTTTGCCCACCCGCGATACATTTCATTCCGTTGCTCAAAAAGTCCTTTCATTGACATCCACACTTGACATAAATCCACAAACTCTGCAATGCTCCTTTCACAATCATAACAATGGGGGTTATATTTTGTTAGTGACAAACATAACAGCAAACCTTGGCTCTATCATTGAATGTTCAGCTGTAATCTTAATTCAATGCTGTTACACGTACATGTTTTCTTTAAAGACACATTTAGCAGCAAGTGAACTGTACATTACTTTTTATCACTTTTTACAATTACCACATACCTTCATGTCATTACTGCAATTGACTATTACAAATAATAATTTGATATTTGATTCACTATTCCATTACAGTTACAGGTGTCGTTCAACCTCTATTCTATGGTAAACTAAAGACTGGGTTGTTTACTACTGATGTCGAAACTGAAATCAACTATTTTCAGAATACATACACACAAGCACAATATAAATGTAACCTGTATTTTCCTGAATCACTGTTTTATAGTGTGTTTGTTTTCTTTGTGAAGTATCAAATATACGAGTTGCAACATTTAATTTCATAAGAATAAACATCTGGGAACAGGAAATCCAAGCATTTTCAAAATCATCGGGCCCGGTTCGTAAGGCTCAGCAGCCACTCAACTCAAAGGTCTGAAAGCTAAATTAATTTGCAAAGGTTAATAGTGAAGTTTGAGTATAATTGAGAAACAAATACATCGCTGCAGCACGCTGGCACAGAGACACATGTTTTCAATTAAGAAATCGCCTTGAATTCTTTTCAAAGGAGGATTAATGAAAAGGTTTAATCATGAAAATTCATTTCGGGAGAAAGCGTGCCAGCAGTCAATAATGGAGAAAAGACGCGAGCAGGAGAGGCGCTGGACAGTTCGGAGCATCTGCCGCTGGACTGGGGCCGAGAGACACTCCTGCATTCTCCTCACATCCACAGACAAACAGCCATCATTAATATCACTTTCAGCACCACAAATTACTTTCCCAAACTGCATCTCCGATATTGCCAATATCTACTTCTCTCTGATCTGAGGACCGTGGCTTTAAGGGGGCGGGGCGGAGTCTGCGGGTGAGGACACACAGTGCCCTGAGGGTGACTGTTCCACAGTCATTGCCACCCCATTCCACAGCACTGCTCTCTACTACCCCACCCCACTCAACAATACTACACTCTGCCACCCCACTCCAAAGGCGCTACTCTGCTACACCTCCCCACTCAACAATACTGCTCTCTGCTACCCCACCCCACTCTACAGCACTGCTCTTTGCCCACTCCACTCAACAGCACAGCTCTCATGTCAGACAGCGATAACATAAATTCAAAAGCATACAAATCAGCTTCCAGGTATTTGACAGCAGACAGATGATTCATTCTCCTGTCTGACCTGTAAGGAGAGCCTTTCAGAAATAAATGCCACTTCTCCAAGTGAAACACACTGAACCACATGAAAGGAGGGGACAATATGCCTCAAAACCAACAGGGATTCTGGTTCTAAATATGAAGGAATTTACTTTCTCTAAAAGTAAATTTCCTCCGGAATGATGCATAAAGCAAGGTTATTTGTTCATATCACAGATACAGAGAGGCTAGTTTAAACTGACATTAAAATAACCCAAACACAGCTTGCTTTCTTTTTTGAGATTCAAATTTGCTTTTCATTTTACAAGAGAAATGCTTGTACTTGGAATCACAACAAGTTTAAGGCAACATGAGAGTCCAGTCACATAACACTTGAACGCTTTAGGCTCCAATCTAGGCCATGGACTCCAAAGAGGGAACAGGGGAATGTGAGAGCCAGCAAGCACTGAGGGCGATTAAAGTGCCAAACGACAACAAGAGAAAAGCCAAAGACACCAGACACCTAAGGGGGGAAATGAACCAATCAGCAAGACTCGGAAGGGGCTGTGGAGCTGGTGGCAGAAGAGAAAGGCCTAAATGAACTGTGGCTGCACACTCACACTTTCGAGCGCTGAGGCACATGGGGCGCAGCGCAATTAGCGCAATTAGTGGATACTGGTGCACTACACAAAAGACTTCAGAAAGCATTTACAACCTGTCTGTGTAATAACCTTCTACCCGGTATCAACGTCGGGAGGGGTGTCTGTAATTACCCATGGATGAACTGTATGGTTCTTTTCACATTAAGGTCACCTCACTGCACCTCTGGAGCTATCCAGCTCAGTCCAAAGGGACCCAATCTGTGCTGCCTTGTCGAGACATTATTGGAAATGCTATTTGGCCTTGCACACAGACGACTGCCATGAAAAGTCTCGGGGAAAAAAAAATCATCTAATTTTTCAAATGCATAAAGCCTTTTGAATTGGAACAGTTCCGTCCTTCACCGGGCAAGTGCCATACATAAGGTTTTCATTTAGGAGGGGGAAAAAACCTTCAGTTTAATGCTTAAATTAAACCTTCGGTCTTCACATGAGCTGCTACAGACGCCGTCAAAGGCAGGAATTGAAAACAGCATTCGCTTAGACTGCCCAGGGGCCTCTCAGGCCCGGGGAAGGCAGTGGCAGATGCCACCAATGGCGTCTCCGGGGCAACTGCAAGACCCCGGAAAATGGGGAGAAATTGATCAACTGCACGCGTGGGGACAGACATAACACGCTGGCGGAGTCGGAGGACACTTTAGTCACACCCCAGCGATCAGAGGAGAGCGAGTCTTAACAAGACTATATTTAAAAAAAAATTTTTTTTTAAAAAACCTGACATTCCTTCCGATACTGAAGGGGGGGCGAAAAGAGAAGAACCTTAAGGTAATAAACTGAGATTCATGAGGGGGAAGAGAAACACAGACGACCGAGAGGTGTTTACATCGAGAGCCGGGGGGAGAGCGGTTAACCAAGCGGCTCCTGATAAGAATGCACGGGGAAAGCACGGGGGGGGCTCGGGGTGTCTGCGCCACACCATCCCGGGGAGAGAGAGAGCGCCGGAAAGCGGTGCATGAATTATGCAGGGCCCGGCTGACGTGCCAAAATTCAATCCAAACAGACAGAGCTGGGTTCCAGGCCCGGCGTGCAGCTGTAGCCCGTAGCTAGGATCGGCACATGCAAATGAAATTAAGCCGCGAGAATGAGATGGCATCCATCTTTTGGCGCGAACGCAATTACAGAAATGACAGTTTGTGTTTCCCAGTCAGCGGCGAGCGGCAGGAGGACCTATTAGTGAGAGTAAATAATCCCGTCAGCTCTTCTAAAGATTGATTAAGGTCGGGAGATGAGCACAGCTCACAGCCTGATGATCTATTTAATTACCTGGGGAAGACGCTGTCTCCTTTCAGAGGTACTTTTCTTTGACATGGATTCATTACACGATGAGGACCGAGTCCCCCACCCCCCGCTGCAATCCAAATGAAATACAAAACAGGGCCCACAAGCTGAGCCTCTTTGTAGAGCGCTTGCCATGAGCCCACTTCGTTGTTTGAGAATTTCAAATTGCTCTTCCCAAACAAAACAAGTCATCATCCTGTTTCATTAGTCTGCATTCTTATGTACATCATCAAATTAAACAGGATTTCAAACGTGGCACTCCTGAGAAAATGTCAGATTTACTGAGGCCAGGACAAAGTTCCCACTCTCTTCCCAAAAACATTATGAGCTTTACAGTTTTCCACTGGTATACCTTTTATGACAAAGTAAGCAAGCAAATGGGCCACATCATATTTTACCGTTATCCCCTCCACCATCCCCACTTCAGGCTTTTTGACATTGTTACTAAAGAGAAGAGACCATAAAAAATTATAAGTACTAATCAAATGGAGTAAGGTTAAAACGGAGTCATTCTAGAACAGAACCATCCTACACCTCTACAAGCATAACACTCTGGAGTTCTTCAAGCTCGCACTACAGTGAGGGGGAAAACAAATGCAGGGCCAAATGACATACACCACCGAGGAAGCCAGAATATCAATCTTCCCTCTTACTGTATTAAATATGCATACATCTACTGTTGCAATCACAAATGTGAGCACGCACACTCGTCCTTGTGGAAAAACTCATTGAGTGCATGTAAATCTTGCATTGTCCTCATCACTGGCTGAGCAGCCAGAAGTCAAAAATCCAATCACTCGCATGTTGAATTAAACATTAAATGTTGAGATCGTCATGAAAAGGACACCTGACTTTTGAAGCATTATCAGAAAAGCAGCACCTTTCTGTTGATGCAAACAGTCAGCTCTACTGATGTTTCAAAAAGCATTCACCAAAGAATACAGAAAAGATAAACTTGTAAGAAGTAACTTGGAAGTAATTCTACATTAAAGTAACCTGAATACAGAGCTTATTTTTGCCTTCCACTCGCCAGTTCTACTGACACTCCCATTCTGTGCTTTATAGCAGACGCCTGACAGAAACACACCTTCTCCATGGGCAGCTGGATGGAGGCCTTGCAGTCGGTGAACTCCGCCGTGATGCTGGGGCCCTGCACCTCCGTCACCACGTACTG